CAGCCCACTTCTTCGGATGCATAGAAGTGGGCTGTAGTCCACGAAAGCTTATGCTCTAATAAATTTGTTAGTCTCTAAGGTGCCACAAGTACTCCTGTTCTTCTTTTTGCGGATACAGACTAACACGGCTGCTACTCTGAAACGTAGTGTAGGTCATAGACATTGAACAAAGAGTACATCCAACACAGTAAACAAAAACTGTGCACAGTTTAGTTTGTTTGTAGCCTGCAATCAATGCACTGCATAGCTGAGGTTTTAGTTATTTATAGTTGGAATGTATATTTAAAAAAATCTTTATAGTAGAATAAGTATCTATTCTTACTATGATACAGGATTTTTAAAGCAAATTAAATGTGAGGAAAAAAACTGAAACTCCTTTTAGGTATTGAGCATTTGAGCAGTTGTTCCATTAGTTAATTTGAGCTAATGAGTCAACAACAACAACAAAAAAACATTTTGAAAATGTAAATCAAAGAACTTAAATCTTAGCTCCAGTTGTTTGAAACTCACTTCTCTGCAAGGTCAACAAGTTATAAACCTCCAACCCATTATGTTAAAGAAGAGAGAAAGAGTAGATGATTAAAAAAAACAACCTTTAAGATTGAATCTTCCCTCTCTCAGGGTATTGTGTTTCCGTCCATGTATTTAGACACCATGAGCTTGTGTCTTGCACAGTACCCAAGTACATGGTCAATAAAAATTACTGATAACTTTCACAGAGCCCAAGGCTTCTCTGAAAACTGTAAATATCTAAAATAATTATGCAAAGAACAATTATAATTTAACATGTGTTATTTTTATGGCAATTGATGCTTTATTTTTATAATTATTTTTTCTTGTTTTTCCTTAACAGTGAATCTAATGTTTTTGTGGAAAATATAAGAATAAGAACATAAGAATGGCCATATGGGGTCAGACCAAAGGTCCATCTAGCCCAGTATACTGTCTTCCGACAGTGGCCAATGCTTGGTGCCCCAGAGGGAATGAACAGAACAGGTAATCACCAAGTGATCCACCCCGTCGCCCATTCCCAGCTTCTGGCAAACAGAGGCTAGATACACCATCCCTGTCCATTCTGGCTAATAGCAATTGATGGACCTATCCTCCATGAACTTATCTAGTTCCTTTTTGAACCCAGTTGTAGATTTGGTTTTCACAACATCCTCTGGCAAGGAGTTTCACAGGTTGACTGTCTGTTGTGTGAAAAAATACTGCCTGTGTTTGTTTTAAACCTACTACCTATTAATTTCATTTGGTAACCCCTAGTTCTTGTGTTATGAGAAGGTGTAAATTACGCTTTCTTATTTACTTTCTCCATACTAGTCATGATTTTATAGATCTCTATCATATCCCCCCTTAGTCGTCTCTTTTCCAAGCTGAAAAGTCCCAGTCTATTAATCTCTCCTGATATGGCAGCCATTCCATACCCCTAATCTTTTTTTGCCCTTTTCTGAACCTTTTCCAATTCCAATATATCTTTTTTGAGATGGGGCAACCACATCTGAACACAGTATTCAAGATGTGGGCATACCATGAATTCATAGAGGCAATGTGATATTTTCTGTCTTATTATCTATCCCAGGGGTCGGCACTTTTAGAAGTGGTGTGCTGAATCATCATTTATTCACTCTAATTTAAGGTTTCGCATGCCAGTAATACATTTTAACGTTTTTAACGTATACGTCTATAATATATAACTAAGCTATTGTTGTATATAAAGTAAATAAGGTTTTTAAAACGTTTAAGAAGCTTCATTTAAAATTAAATTAAAATGTAGAGTCCCCCCGGAACGGTTACCAGAACCCGGCAGCGTGAGTGCCACTGAAAATCAGATCGCGTGCTGTCTTCGGCACACGTACCATAGGTTGCCTACCCCTGATCTATCCCTTTCTTAATGATTTCCAACATTCTGTTTGATTTTTTGAGTGGATGTTTTCAGAGTACTATGCACAATGACTCCAAGATCTCTTTCTTGATTGGTAACAGCTAATTTAGACCCCATCATTTTGTATGTATAGTTAGGATTATGTTTTCTAATGTACATGACTTTGCTTTTATCAACATTGACTTTCATCTGCCATTTTGTTGCCCAGTCACCCAGTTTTGAGAGATCCTTTTGTAGCTCTTCGCAGTCTGCCTGGGACTTAACTATCTTGAGCAATTTTGACTCATCTGCAAATTTTACCACCTCACCTTTTTCCAGCTCGTTTATGAATACGTTGAATAGGAGTGGTACCAGTACAGACCCCTGGAGGACACCACTATTTACTGCTCTCCATTTTGAAAACTGACTATTTATATATAGATAGTGTTGGAGGCTGGAATCCTCTTTAAGTTCACAGAATGTGTCAAGCATGGGCATCAGCAGTACAAAAGTCCCCACATTGCACCAGTACCTCGGGCTTAACCTAGAGGGACCTGTGAGGATAAAATGGTAATTAAAGTTACCATGCCCATTTAATTCTTGGACCACCTGCTAAAACACCCTGAACAAGTGCCTCTTATTATTGTGTTGTGATGCTGTTTACTAAAAATTGAATTGAGACCACTAATTCTTTCCCATAATTTAAAAAATAATCAGATAGAAACTTATTACCATCAATACTGACTTAAGCCATATTGTAACTTGTGGTCTAAGGGCCCTTTGCCCCATCGCTAAAGCCATTCCCCTTTAATTTTAATAGCAACCCATTTATTATTGTGTATTAATTTTACATAATAAAACACAGATTGAACAAGTACATATGATAAAAATGTAATCTTTATTCTTTTGTCTGGTTAGTAATGTATTTATGGGAAAACATTTTGTGGCATGCAGTTCACCAATACACTACACATCAATAGTTTTAGTAAAAGAAGGAGTCTATGTTTAACTCTACCTTGTGTAAGAAACAAAAACATCCTGATGTGATGCATTATACAAGTTCACTACTTTGTTCTTGTGAAAAAAGATTGTGTATCCCATATTATATTTTGAACAGTTCTAGTGCATCATGAATCAATAAGAACAACAGTCTATATAAACGGACACCGTGAAAGATCAAGGATTCCATGAATAACTTCAGATGCAGGCAGCGCTAGAAAATCAACAAATTTCTCCATTCTTTTTCCACATACAAAGAACAACCTACTCAAAAGCAAGTGAACTCTGGTCCCCATTTTATTTCAAATTATTTCATATTAAAATATGTTCAAGTATAATAATAAGCAGAAGCATACAACTACCTATTCACTTCTTCATATCTTAAATTTCTTAATGAAAAAGTAGGAATAGAAATGAACAAAAAAGTGACTGACAACAACTTGAGGATAACTGTAGCTGCTTATAGGTACAAAATGCTGAAAAATAAAGTGATTTTTAAAAATAATATAGTTTTTTTTATAAAACTGTTTTCTAACCCCACATTTTCAACAAGTTAAGCAGTTTACATGTCCTGTATAGTCCAATTATACACCGCATAATATTGATTATTTTTTTAATTAAAATTAAATAAAAATAAGCTCTTAAATAGCAGCAAACTATTGCTTACTGACATGAGGAATGATGTCTGGTTGAACAATTTGTTTCATTTTTCCACTGACACATGGCTTCCCTTATTAGACTTCCGAACTTTGGAAGGCGTAAGATACAGCAACAAGGCGTAAGATACAGATAAACATGCATCAGTAACAACCTTCAAATTATTTATAATAGTACAGAATATATCATATTACCTGTTGAAAGTTTGCAAACTCGACTTATTAAGGTACATATTTAATGTAATAAATACTGTGGTCAGGTCATTATTTGCTTGCTCAAACATGTACCACTGTGTCAAACGATTTAAATATCAAAAGCCATTTCATTGACAATTACAATGTCAGCCTTGCTGAGAACAGATGACATTTAAAAAATACTGCAGGATAAAGCAGAATAACTACACCTATTTGAACATTTCAGTGTTTAGGGAAGATTCATTTCATATAGCAGAACACTTGACAAAAACATAAGGGGACCAAATTCTTCCCTGATTTACACCTCCCCTGCCATGTCTCCCCTGTGCAACCCTAACAGGGTTGGGTTGTGGGCATAAGGTATAAAGCAAGGCAATATTTGTCCCAAGGTGCTTAACGTTCCCATTGATCTGCACATGTTACTCCCTTTATCTTAAATGGGTTTTACTCACGTGAATAAGAGAAGTAGAGACAGAATGTAGCTCCAGACCTTAGAGTAAAATATGGAATGCACTGTTGAAATGTAATAGTCTATATTAAAAGGCAAAACAAATCAACCAACCAAACAAAAAAAAATGACTGTTCCATTTTTGGGAATTCTTTTTGACTTTATATTTATGATTTTTCTGGATTTTACTTCATGATAGTTAAAATACTTCAAAATTAAGAGCCAGCCTGAAATCTGGAAGTAGTTAGAACTCTGCTGCTCTTTGTGAGGTCATGTTTTTCCATGCATGAGCTATAAGTACAGCATGCCTTCATGCAAATCACTTCAATCTGAACATGAGAGAGAATCAGAGTATAATAACTCACCAAATATAGACTTTAAAATAGCTAAATAATTTTTTTAAGAAAACCAAAAACTAAGTAACCAAAAAGAAAAAAGTGAAACTAATAAATGAATCAGCTGTCTGTGGGAATAACTACATCTTCCAAGGGCAGACTCCTCTACTGGTATTTATTGATGTCTTGTCTATATCCCCCATGGTCTTGTCATCTTTTTGTGATGGCACTGATCTGATTTAGGTTTAAGGTCACAGGGGCAGTGACCTCGCTTTTTAATTGGCTTGTTAAGAACCATGCATGCCTTATCATGCTGTATAAATAGTATCTGACACTTGAATACCTGTGAAAGAGCACTTATCTCCTTTTCCCAACATAAAAGAACCACATATAAAAATCTGTGAATTAAAACAAATGACTGTACCAACAGAAATTTTAAAAGTAGGACAAATGCGGCCTACTTTGAAATGCACAGAATGGATATAATTACGCCACTGAAGTATTTGTTGTTAACACACACGCATTTTAAGAATTATAGATTTGCACCCTTTAATGTTCCTAACAGTCTGAGTAGCAATGTTGTGTCTCCTCTTCATCAGTACCAGCTGGTAATAATCATCTCTTGGCAAGGCTGTTACCCTACAGAGTCATAGTTTGATGACGAGGGGTCACTGTCTTGATATAGGCACTGACCTTAAGGGGTGTGTGTGTGTGTGTGTGTGTGTGTGTGTGTGTGTGTGTGTGTGTGTGTGTGTGTGTGTGTGTGTGTGTGTGTAAAAGCTGTCAGTTTGGCGTAGACCTCCTACAGGAGTCCTATTGACATAGATGTCACTTTCTCAAGCTGTAAACAATTTGTGATGAATGGAATTCTTGGTTTCCTTTTACTTTTTACTTTCCCTGGTGTCCTTACTTTTGTCTTCTTTTTCTGAATGGTCTTTTTCATATTTGTCTTTGTCTGGCTTTGTTACACTATCGTAGGAAGGTGGAGAAGTTGTGGAGGGGGTCCCATTTGTTTTTTCTGCAGCTGAGTTTTCACTTAGCTTATCCAGAGTCATATCTTCTTTGATAGGCAGACCATGCTTTTCTTTGCGATACATAAATGAAACTTTTTTCACCGTTTGCCTTAAAAGGTAATGTCTGTAAGCTCGCTGAATAACAGTAGCGGACACTTCCTCTTGTTTTCGTTTTAATGTGGTCGTAATTGGTTCATAGGAGACTTTAGAAGGATTGGCCGCCATAAAACGATCTTCCATTTGTATTCGAAGTGCATCCAGCTCATCACTGTCCCCCAAAACACGCTTTGTAAAAGCAAACAAGATGTCAAGGCAGTGAATTCTGTCACCACTCACCATGGGCAGATCCATTGCAATAAGCTGAAGAGTGTTTGGTTTTGCTACAAGAAGAGGAGGATCCAGTGAAGCTGCAAAATCAGACAGTTTAGTGTATTCTATGAACTGGGTGGCGTCTGGATCAAACTTTTCCCAAACCTCA